TTTTTGCTTAAGATTATCTTGACTATACAGGATCTTCTTTGACTCTATATGAAATTTAAAATAGTTTTTTTTTCTAATTCTGTGAAAAATATCTATGGTAGTTTGATGGGAATAGCATTGAATCTAAAAATTACTTTGGGCAGTATGGCATTTTCTGATTATATGATTTCTCCTATCCATGAGGATGGAATGTTTCTTTGTTGGTGTCCTCTCTTATTTCCTTGAGCAGCGATTTGTAGTTGTCCTTGAAGAGGTCCTTCACATCCCTAGTGAGCTGTATTCCTAGATATTCTCTTTGTAGCAATTATGAATGGGTGTTCATTCAAGATTTGGCTCCCTGCTTGCCTATCATTGGTATAAAGGAAGGCTTGTGATTTTTGTACATTGATTTTGTATCCTGAGACTTTGCTGAAGTTGTTTATCAGATCAAGAAGTTTTGGGGCTGAGACAATGGAGTTTTCTAAATATAAAATCATGTCATCTGCAAACAGAGACAACTTGACTTCCTCTCTTCCTATTTAAATATCCTTTATTTCTTTCTCTTCCCTGATTGCCCTGGCCAGAACTTCCAATACTATGTTGAATAGGAGTGGTAAGAGAGGGCATCCTTGTCTTGTACCAGTTTTCAAAGGGAATGCTTCCAGCTTTTGCCCATTCAGTATGATTTTGGCTGTAGGTTTGGCATAAATAGCTCTTATTATTTTGAGATATGTTCCATGCAAAGACACACAAAGGCTCTAAACCAAGGGAGGGAGGAAAATTTACAAAACAAATAGAAAGCAAAAAAAAAAAAAAAAAAAAGTAGGGGTTGCAATTCCTAATCTCTGACAAAACAGACTTTAAATACTGATCAAATAGACAAAGAAGGGCATTACATAATGCTAAAGGAAACAATTCAACAAGAATATCTAAGTATTCTGAATATATATGCACCCAAAACAGAAGCACCTAGTTTCATAAAACAAATTCTTGAGCCTAAGACCTACACAGACACAGCCTTCCATACAATAACAGTGGGAGACTTGAACACTAACAAGGATATTCAGGACTAAACTCTGCTCTGGATCACGTGGACCTAGGAGACATCTACAGAACTCTCTACCCCAAATCAACAGAATATACATTCTTCTCAGTGCCACATGACACTTATTCTAAGATCAACTACATAATTGAATTAAACCACTCCTCAGCAAATGCAAAAGAACTGAAATCATAACAAACAGTCTCTCAGACCACAGTGCCATCAAATTAGAATTTAGGATTAAGAAACTCACTCAAAACTGCACAATTTCATGGAAATTGAACAACTTGTTCCAGAATGACTCCTGGGTAAATGATGAAATTAAGGCAGAAATAAAGAAGTTCTTTGAAAGCAACAACAACAAAGAGACAACATACCAGGATCTCTGGGATACAGCTAAAGTAGTGTTAAGAGGGAAATGTATAGCACTAAATGCCCACATAAGAAAGTTAGAAAGATCTCAAATTGACAACCTAACATCACAACTAAAAGAACTAGAGAGGCAAGAGCAAACTAATCCAAAAGCTAGCAGGAGACAAGAAATAACTAAGATCAGACAAGAATTGAAGGAGATAGAGACATAAAAACACTCCCAAAAAAATCAATGAATTCAGGAGCTAGTTTTTTGAAAAAATTAACAAAATAGATAAACCCTAGCTACACTAATAAAGAAGAAATGAGAGAAGAATCAAACAGACACAGTAAAAAGTTATTAAAGGAGATATCACCACTGACCACACAGAAATACAAACTCAGAGAATACTATATTACCTCTATGCCAATAAACTAGAAAGTCTAGAAGAAACGGATAAATTCCTGGACACATACACTCTCCCAAGAATAAACCAGGAAAAAGTCAAATTGTGATATTGTGCCAGAATTGCTAGCCTTTGCTTTAGTTATTTAGTAATAACTAAAATAAGCAGCCCAGGATAACTAAGATCTGTGTGTAAACAAATGCTTATCTTGACTTCTGTAAACCACTGAAGTAACAAACAGAATGACAAAAGTCCCCTGGCCCTTGGAATGTCCGGAGACCCCCACCCTCGTCTCCACCCAGGAGGTGAATCACAGAATCCCCTAGCTCTTGAAATGTCCAAAACCTTTTCATCCCCATCCCCGCTCCTCACCCCCACTCCCAAGGTGGTTTTTCGGGTATAAAAAGTCTTGGCACCCTCCTTTTGACGCCACAGGTTGGAGAGACGTGAGTCCTCTGTGGTTGCCGGCATAAATGACCCTGCAATCTGGCATACTTTTGTCTTGGTGCTAACTTTCTACGCTCGGTCCAACACAACAAAATCACAGAATAGACTAATAACAAGTTCTGAAATTGAGGCAGTAATTAATAGCCTACCAACCAAAAAAAAAAAAAACCCAGGACCAGACAGATTCACAGACCAATTCTACTAGAGGTACAAAGAGGAACCTGTACCATTCATTCCCTCTGAAACTATTCCGAACAACTGAAAAGGAGAGGCTTCTTTCTAACTCATTCTATGAGGCCAACACCATCCTGATACCAAAACGTGGCAGACACACAACAAAAAATACAAAACTTCAGGCCAATATCCCTGATGAACATCAATGTGAAAATCCTCAATAAAATATTGGCAAACTGAATCCAGCAGCACATCAAAAAGCTTATCCACCACGATCAAGTTGGCTTCATCCTTGGGATGCAAGGCTGGTTCAACATACGCAAATCAATAAACATACCATATAAACAGAACCAAGGAGAAAAACCACATGATTATCTCAATACATGTGGAAAAAGTATTGATAAAATTTAATATCCATTCATGTTAAAAACACGCAATGAACTAGATATTCATGGAACATATCTCAAATTCTTCTTAAACTTTTCTAAAGCTTAGAACTAGAGGGAATACTGTCAAACCTATTTTTGAGGCCAGCATCGTTCCTATATCAAAGCCAGACACAATTAGAAAACTACAGGCCACTAAGATGAACATAGATGGAAAAATCATCAAGAGAACACCAGCAAAATGAACTCAAGAACACATCAAAGAAATTACACGTAATGACCAAGTTGGATTTATCACTGTCTCCACACTGTTTTTATCATGAAACAATGGTAAAGAGACTAAAGAGACAACTTAAATACTGGGAGAATAGATTTACCAACCATAGTCTCTGTTAAAAGGTTAATACCTAAAATATGTAAGGAATTCAAACAACCCAATAGCAAAACAAAATAATAACCTGATTAAATAATAGGTAAAGAACCTCAACTGACTTATATCCAGAGAAGACATAAAAATGGCCAACAAGTATATGAAAATGTGCTCAACATCACTAGTCTTCAGGGAAATACAAATCAAAGCCACAATGATTTACCCCCTAACATCTGTTGGGATGCTTATTATGAAAAAGACAAGAGATAAGTGGTGCTGAGGGTGTAGAGAAAAGGAAACACTTGTAAACTATTGGTAGGAATGCAGATTTAGGTAGTCACTTTGGAAAACTTCACAGAGCTTCCTAAAAGAAATTCAACGTAGAACTACCATATAATAATTCATGTACAATTACAATAGTAATCCCTCTTCTGGATATATCCCCAAAGGAAATGAAATCACCACCTTATAAGGATATCGGTGTGTCCATGCTTATTGTAGAATTATTCTCAATAGCCAAAGTAGGGAAACGACCTAAGCATCTACTGATAGAAGAAGGGATAAAGAAACCATGGTATCCATATACAACAGAATACTATCTGGCCTTAAAAAAGGGAGATCCTGCCATTTTCAGCAACATGGATGGATTATGTTCAGTAAAATAAGCTAGATATAGGAAAACAAATACTACATGAACTCACTTATATGTGGAATCTTAAAAACATAATAATAAACACAAAGCAGCAGAGTAGAATGGTAGTTAGGAAAGGTACAGGAGAAATGGGAGATCTAGGCCAAAGGGTATGAATTTTTTATTTACACAGGATGAATATGTGTAGAGAACTAGCATACAGCATAAGCACCGTAGTTGATGATATTGAATTGTATATACTGGAAATTTGTTAAAACAATACATTTTAGATACCCTTACCACACACACACACACACACACACACACACACACACACACACACACGTCAAAAGAAAGGGTGACTATGGAAGATGCTGTAGTAATTTATTAAAGTATTTGACTGTTATAAGCACTTCACCATGCAGATGTATGCAGAAACATGTTGTATACATTACATTTATACAATAAAAATATTACTCATCATTATTACTGAAAAATAAAATTATTTTTCATAGAAACTTAAAATATAAATTTTATTAAGATAACTGTATACATATTTTAAGCATTTCTCAATATTAATTTTTAACATGGTGAATATTAATAGAACCCTTATAAATAATTACTAAAAATAAAAACGTCTGCCCCATTATACTGAGAGATCTTCAGGGAAAATATTCTAGTAGTCCAGTTTCATTTTTTTTTTAACTTTATAGTTTTTGCGGTCATAGTTACCAAGTCAAAAAGAATTTGCCTATGAATCATCGGTTATTTCAGTGTCCTAGGCATCTCTAAAAATAAGCTGCCAGACAACCTGAACTTGGAAAAATATTGAAAATTTCCCCATTCAGATGTATTCTTTTTGTTCACTGGTAACTGTAGGAATTTTTAGAAATCAAGTTGCATTCTCGATGTTCACTGCATTCAACAGCATGGATGTCATGAAAATCTTCCCTTATTTATCTGTATGCCTAATCATTCAACTGTAGTATGAAGTAAATACTCAATAATTCACTTGAAATGCTCCTCTCTAGTTACTGCAGATTTCAGTGTGATTATTTAAATGTCTCCCAATGAGGCAGAGTAGGATGATTACCAACCACCTGCCCATCTAATATATTCCTCTAGAAAGGCATCAAAACTCATATGCTTGCAGGTAAGAAGCATGATATAATTATTTCATTTTACTTTAATAAATAATGCTTCAGTTTACTACTGTGAGCCAGGGAGGATTGAAGAGAAAGTGGAATGGACTAAAAACTCTGAGAAATAAAGTACAGCTAAGGAGACAGCCAGAGAAGTTGTAGTTCTGAAATTGGCTGCCTTGTCTCAAACACTGAGAGAGTTTCTTTCTCATAGAGATTAGCTTATTTTTCTCACAAAGGTGGAAGGGGACATTTGGAAATTTTTTTAAAAATCACACACTGGTGTATAGGAAGAAAAATTTAACAATACAATGAGACTCCTAGATCTTTCACACTGATATGAATTAAAACATAAGTCATGTCTATCCTGACAAAGACCAAATACACAATTATATAAGCCAATATTCATCATCTTTCTCAACATCATCATCCACTGAATGTTTACTGTGTGCCAACAAGTTAAGTGCTTTCGAGGCAACCTCACAAAACCTTTATGAGCCAGGTACTTTTATGAGCCCCTTTTTTCAAATGAAGAAATTAAAGCCTATGGAAGTTGTAAATAACTGGTCCAAAGTGGCTAAGCTACTAAAATCCTCTCACTCCAAAGTCCCAGTCTTCCTAAAGAGCAAAGAAGACATTAACGTGGCCCTAGAATAAAAATACTGTGTAGTATTTGGATAAGAAAATGAGCATTACAGGAAGGAGAAAGCACACAGGATGAAAAGAGAAGAAAACAAGTTATGTTTGTGGTATAACTAGGAGACTGACTGAGTCAGTGGATGATTTGTATTGAGAAATGGTAGGAAGCAAGCTAGAATAGAAGACTGGGGGCAAATCAGTCAAATAGATTTAAATGCCAGTCTAAAACCCAGAGGAATTGGAAGCCATTGCACATTTTTTATCAGAGTCCAATACTTGAATAATCTTGTGCTTGTTTTAGGAAATCACACAAGATCATCAGAATTTACAGCTAAAATTAATTTTATTGACAATCTGGTTAAATACCTTTAATTTAGACATTAGGTACTGAGGTTTATGTTAAGGATCCATACTCTTTGCCACTTAAAAGTCAAGATAAGCGAACATTATATTTAGCTGAGAAAAGAAATAGTAACTGCCTTTTGAATATGAACCTTTTAATCACTGTTACATTGTTTTGTTCCTTGAGAATCCGTGATCTTCTAAAGAGAACAGATTCCTATTTTTATGGTAGGAACTTTATGAATGTAGACACTTAGTGAAGAAGTAATATAAGTAATACCAAACACATAAAATGGATTTAGGAGAAGTAAGTGACATGAATTGGGGGAAGGTCATAGGCCCATTTTAGCCATGTTCCCCAAGACCCCCAGAATGCCCTTCACCCATAACTACTCACTGACATGGTGGCTTTCAGGTGAATGCCATGGAGATTGCTGGGCAAGGAGCATGGAGAAGACCAATCAGAAAATGCCTCGAGTCACTTGCCTATGTAAAATATCTCCCCTTTCAGGCTCTTTGCATTCTGCACTTTCTCAATATTCAGCGACATCAGATCCTC